TTCTTTATACATTTTCTATGAAGGTAATCTTATTTATTCATTATTACTGTGTTATATACCTAATGTTTAGAACATTCATATAAACACTGCCATTGTTTACCCTGAAATACACTAGGACACTAAAAGATCCTCAAAATGTTGATAAATCTTTTTTTGCATGAGTTATGATCATATTGTCTCACATTCCTTTTATTGGATCAGTATTCTAAATATTCTTATGAGGAGACTCCTAGCATATCTTATAAAATACTGATACATGCTTTTAAAACAACTAAAGTGATATTCTCAGTTGTTATTTCTAATATTTCTATGAATCTTTAATCACAGTGACCAAAAGAAGGATATGGAGATAATCAATCAGATCACATTATCAATATGCCAATGAATCTTTTGTCTCAAATCTTTTTAAATGAAATATACAGAATCTTTTGCCTTATTTGTCACTCATATTTTTACATTCTGGTGCAACAGTGGCCCAATGAAAGTGGGAAAAACTCAGTCTGAGCATCTCTGTAAATCTATAAACATGTGTGCCCCCCATTTTTTTTAAACCTTCATGTATATACATGTATGTATTTTATTTAGTCAGTGATTTCAAACATCAACATGTAAAATAAATATTGAGTACTTTAAAAGTGAATATATGCATGATTTGGACACCCTGAATATTCTGACATACTAATGGTGACATCAGAGTAATTAGTTATGTAAAATTCAGTTTATATGAATGTAAATGGGGTATTTATTTTCAGTTCATGTAAGGTATAATTTGCATGTAACCCAGAGTGCATTTAATATTTCTATGATGGGTCATTCTATGATTGAATTTCAATCAGAAAAATATTTACTAAATTTTGGTAAAATACATATGGTATCTTTTACATTTCTGTCCCTTTTATCTGTAAATTATTGCTTTACTTACATTGTAAAATGAGGTTAATTTGTGTATCACTGAATTGTATGATTTTTTCAGGATCAGCTGAGATGTTATTTCACTGGATTATTTAATGGATAGGCTTATTGGGCATATAGTTGGATATCTATGGTAAGTTTGTCTTTGTTTTGTTTACATTTCCTATGAAGGTCATCTTTGCATTTAAGCATGATTATATGGTTAATTTAATTACTGTGTAATACTTATGTGATCTGTTGTCTCTAACTTACATTCATATAAGCACAGTCTTATTTTGTCTAAAATATACTAAGGAAACTTCATATTGTTAATAAGTCCTTTTGCATAAATTATGATATAATGTCATAATTCATTATGTCTGTTTATATTGCCACACCCCCATGGTATCCCATGGAATTCAGACTTACTAAATGGTGATCTATAAGGAATGTAATAAAAGAAAAAGTAAGAATCTACAAAAGGTTTATCCTTGTTTTGATTCTAAATATGTGGTATATATGGCATACATAATCATTTCATTTTCACTTTTGTTTCTTGGTAATGAGCTTTTCAAAAAATGTAGAAAACTGACAAAAAATACATGTTGTATATGCTAATATCTTTTTGTATGCTGAACTGACAGGTATTAATCAAAATTGAATATGCTGTTAAGACGATTTTCTCCAAAACCTAAGAGAAAGTCTGTTAATGTCTAAAAATTACACTGATAATCATTTTGTATTTGTGATATTAATACAGTAACTGTGCTTCTTTTGTTATCTAAGGATAACATGATGAACTATTTTCATGAACTTTTTGCCACTGTATTTAAACATGCAATGTTTCATGCAGTTCCTTGTCATATTAACAAAATGATTATATTTTCTACAGTCCTCAACATGGAAGTTATGTTTTATTCCTAACCATCTATAATCCATTCTCTATGAAGTTCAGCCTGTCTGCCCAAATTCCTTTGGAAATACATAGTTAGTCAACCAACATAGAAACAATCAAACTTGAAGGTAAAGTTAAAATGAAATAACTGTGATCTTTATTTTTTACTATGCATGTTTATACTTTGAAATTGATTGAATTGAGAAGTAAAAGATAGGATTTTATAAGTTAAAAAGGCTGGGCGGTACTGGTTATTTTTAGACTATATTGATTTCCTCTATGAGAAGAAGAACTCCATATAGATGTTTACAAAAATGATCAAATTGTGAAACTAAAATGTGTGAACTTTTTCTTTGCCAAATGATAGTTGTCAGCTTTAGAAATCATATCTAAAACTGAAGTTATATCAGATGGTTAATTTATTAACCCTCAGCTTCCTTAAAAATTCGAAATCAAAAAATGCTTGAGATTTAGAGCCATATATTTCTATAGCTTGCGACTAATATAGAGAACATCGGGTGCCCCTTGCCCACTTATTTCCTCATTATAGGGATGTTTTTCCTACCGTTTTCAAATAAAGTGATCAAATTTTTATTTTAAGCCTGAAATCCTATATATTGACCATGCATTTCCTAAAAATACAGGTACTAATATTTTTTCACTCGCGGTGTACATTGTCGCTGCATGTTAATGTCGCTGCACGAGGATTATTTATACCATTCATTTTGATTTTGTGATCAGAATATAAATTTCACAATACTAGTGAAAATAAGTTGTTGGTCATCCTAATATGTCTCCGCAATAAATTAAATGATGAATAAAATTAAATTTTGTATCGATATCACCTTTTAATTCTTGCATATTCCATAGGTCAATATATTTATACTCGTACTGTAAACGTGACTACGTTCAACAAATGACGTTGTAGATATTAATAACGCCATAAACGCCAAATTTTTAGCAATTTTAAAAGAAAACTTTGAAATTATTTAGCAAAAAATCTAGCGAGAAGACATATTGATTTTTTCATATTAATGGTTTTGATTTTACCTCATCTTGACATTTTGAAATTCCTGAATAATTCGTCTACGTCTTTAAAAAGTTATCCAGCCTTTTTAAAAGGAACTATTTTCACAAAATTGGCTTAAAAACGTCATTTTCCCATATATTTCAACGGTAAAAGCATAGAAAAAGGATTTAAAAACTATACCGCGTTTACAGTTCTATAACATTAAAACTACTTAGGCAAATTTAATAAAAATTGCAGATGATACGCTTTTAATTCTAAGGAACATTTTATCAAATTTTCAGGATATGTTTTCTCGTAAGAATTTTTATGCAGTAAACCCGCGACCTACCTTAAAAGTATAGTTGGTAAAGATTTCAAGTTTTCTCTCCAAATGCTTATGAATTCTGACTTTTTCATTTAATATTAACATTATATTTACAATGGGTGCAGATGAAGGAAGTCATTTGTGCTTTATCCTAAATAAAAAGAAAGAAGCGCTGACAGAGATTAGTGATCTAGGAAGAGAGATAGACCAGTTAGAGAGTGATCTAGGAAGGAAGATAGACCAGTTAGAGAAAGAAGTGATGGAAAAGATTAGTCATGTAGGAAGGGAGCTAGTCCAGTCAGAGAAAGAAGTGATGGAAAAGATTAGTCATGTAGGAAGGGTGATAGACCAGTTAGTGAAAGAAGTAGCCTACAAAAAAGGAGAAAAATAGAGGAGTGTCCACCCAGAACACACAAGAGGAAACTATCCCTGATCAGTGAGAAGGGACAGAAGAAGAAACAGAAAATGTAAATTGTATGTATATTTTTTTTTCATTGTGAATAAAAATTGAATAAAAATCAAAATCTGTCTTGTTTGTGTTTTGTTTTCAGTAAAAATCCAGGTTGTTCTTGTCTTTCAGTAAAACCAGTTCAAACCGGTTATAGGACTGTCTAGACTGTGAATGCGTGACGTCATAATCACATTCTTGCAATGTTTTTTGCACACGGCGCATTTTTTACCTGTATAGTCAGCAAAAAAAAAAAAAAAAAAACGTAGTACCTACGTATAGTGTAAAACACACTCCGTATTTTTAAGGGTATAGGGTTAGGGGTAGGGGTAGGGGGTTAGGGTTAGGGGGTTAGGGCTAGGGGGTTAGGGTTAGGGTTAGGGGGTTAGGGTTAGGGTTAGGGTTAGGGCTAGTTAGGGTTAGGGCTAAGGGATTAGGGCTAAGGGGTTAGGGTTAGGGAGTTAGGGCTAAGGATTAGGGTTAGGGGTAGGGTTAGGGTTAGGGTTAGGGGGCTAGGGGGGTTAGGGTTAGGGGTTAGGGTTAGGGTTAGGGTTAGCACTCCACTCAGTTGACCCATTTTTTGAACCTCATTTGCATAAAAAGTGCACTCAGTTGAACTCGCCGGCTAGACGGTTTATACTACTGGTGTGTAATAATTATTTATTTTTAAAAATCATATACACTAAAAATAAAAACAACGCATGTAATAATGATTTATTTAAAAAAAATAATATACGGTTGTGATACAGGATGTCTTGTTTTATTATCACAGTAACTGTAAATGATTTTAAGAAAAAAATAGACACCTCGAGCAAGCCCCTGTGGCTATTAGCTAACTTTGTTCCCAGTGATCAAGTTTATGCATGTTGACAAAAAACTCGTAGAAATTATGATCGAGACAGAATTATGAGTTGGAATAGATTTTGCGTAAATGATATTAAAATAACTAAAAGTTAGTTCAAAGATTCTATATAAGATGCGCAAAAGTTTAATGAGGGTTGACCATTAAGTCACCATTAAGCTCAGCTTAATGGTGGCTTAATGGTAGCTTAATGAAGTTTGGACATTAAGCACCTGTAAGTTGCAGCTTAATGGTGGCTTAAAAGAATTAACTTCTTTAAGCCACGGTGACCATTAAGTCACCATTAAGCTACCATTAAGCGATTGCTTAAAGGTGGTCTTTCGTCTTGTGTTTTTTTCTTAGTTTTCGTTTTTTGGGAAAACTGATAGACATTGTACTTTTTAAGCATTATTTCAAATGAGTTATGTTTTTTTTTTTGGTTTAGTAATAATAAATATGTAAAGTAACCTTAACAAGTTATTTTAAAAAATAACTCTATTCCATCATGCCTCTGACAGTTAAATGCAAAATAAACTTGCTTGTTGGATTCTTTCTATCAAATGTTGAATAAAATTCAACTTTTTAAAAGTTTCATATTCTCTTACTTTTGCAATAAGGTATTTCATTTCCAACATCCCAGTATGCTGTTACAGTTGTCCCATTTCTCTTTTGTTCGCACGTTATTGTGTCATTGCCCACCAAAGGGAAATTTCCCATACAACTGAGTTCACAAAATGAACCAAAATTGTAGCCGGTAGGACATGTAAAGGTTAAATATCGATCGGATATAGTTGGAGGGGTACACATTAAATCTGTAAAAAAGAGATAAAAAGAAATAAATGATTTTAACAACCATTTGATTCATTCTCGGGACGTAAAGATGAGCGAACAACTGGATATTTATAATATTAAAAATTGTCTTTTTTCTTCAAAACATATTAATTATCGCATCAATAAAATGTATGTCAGACATGCACATGTACCTATATCATGGAATTCCCATACGTTCTTATTGACCGTTACTTTGTTCTCAGCTTGTCTTTAATTGATTACACGAAAACAATCGACCAGTAGGCCCAATTTTGATACCCTTTCGTACACCAAGTGTTTTGAAGTATTTCAAGTTTTTGCTCTAAATAAAAGTATACCATTACATTTCACTATATCTATTTTGTCTGCACAGAAAATAACCGAGGCATAGCAACTTGTGAGTGTGTGCCAGGTAAACTGTTATGCATTGATATATCCACATTTAAATAACCGTATTGTTTCGAACTCTCCTGCTCAAAGAAATATTACAGCTTTTCAAAGTACACTGCTTGACTTGTGCTATATAACCACCATGATACCTGCATATTTTCCCTTCATAGTTCAACATAAATTGATTAATGGAAAAGTCGCCAACTGCCAAGTAAACAGAATAATAAACAATCTTCAATAAAAATAAAATAGAAGAGTACTTAAGTATGATTAATCTGAGGTTCCCCGGTATTTTATATTGTGACATGTGCAGGGGGAGTTAAAGTTGAGGCCATATGCATATTGAAAAGTGGGAATTCGGCGAAACCAGCTGGTACCATGAATCTGCCTACCTTTTACAATTTTAATTCGCGGATGTAACCCCCGAGACGCACGAAATCAATAAACAGATGATTCTTCTACATCTACTACAGTTATTCATTAAAGCTGTAGCTTCCACAAAAAGATGCTAGAAGTAGAGCTTATTATTATCATTTTCATTATTTTGACAGAGAGAGAAATATGGCAGGAGAAAACACGTGGGATTAAAATGATGCTATTGACATTTAAACGATTCCATCACCGACAAATGAAGCATCACTTAAACTAGATCAACTCCACGGCATTAAATCTCTTTGCGCATGACGTCAGCACAGACATACACATGTACAAACAAAGTATTGAAAAAAACTATATGTGGTGTTGCTGCTTTTTCCCTCGTATTAGTACAGAAGTTGTTTTTGTCAGCTACTTTCCTTATCAATGAATAAATGAAACATCATTTTGATGTTTTATGTACTTTTTCACAACAATATCATGGTTTTATGAAAGGTCTGCACGTGTTTTGAGCACGCTCTAATTTGAAATCGATTGGAGTTTTGTGTATTTCTGTTGATACGTCATGCGCGAATAAGTCAAATGACGAGATGATAACCCGATCCAAGTGATGCTTCATTTGTCAGTGACAGGGTCGTTGAAATGGTGTTTGCATCCCTAAAAGCCGAGATAATAAGCACCGCCTTCGGATTAACCTAGTATGTATTCCCCCATCAATCAAATGAATAAAGATCAAACATTAGGTACTTGATATTAATAGATACATGTGTTTAGCATGTTGTCCAACAACTCTTTCCTTGTTTAACATCCATTGCCGCCATCAAATTCACTTTTGGTCCTCTAACGTAACCGAAAAATTACCAGCGCAAAAAAAGCCATTTTGATGTAATTTTTTTTTAGCTTGATTGATAATGATTACCTGTATTACAAACCTTTAATTGAAAAAAGAAAATTATCTTATAATTTTTCAGTAAAATTAATCAAGATTGTGTGTAATTTTTTTAGTACAGTGAAAAGGTGACAGAAATCTTGTCGTCACTCGTAAAAAAAATCTTGTTTTAATTTGAGACGCGGCGAAAAAATACGACGAAAGAAAAGGAAAAAAATAAGCTGGTACATGTAACACTATTTCCATGTAATGGGTAGTAAGGATGAAAGCAAAATATCTGAATAGTAACAGCTTCGCATGGACAAGTTTTTAAAAGGGTTTCTTTCTTTCTTTTTTATGCCGAGCATTTCTTGCTGCGTGAAATTGTTACCTTTTTCTTAGGTCTCAGGTTACGAGGGGCGTTCAATAAATAATGTCATTAGCTCGATGACATACAACATAGTAGTCACATGACTTGACTTTCTCTCATTATTGAATCTTTAATGAATTTATAACAGTTTATGTGACCACTTTTCATCACATAGTTTTATCGTGAGAAGCTGGGAAACAAGGGCTATTCGAGACACTGCATTATAAATGAATGGTTAAGAATCCGTTAACTAGAGTGAAAATAAAAGCTACATAAAAGCTGCTGTAAAACTTATTAAAAATCCCAAAGAAATATTCACTGAAATATGTGACATTTACAGCAACCGGTGCCTCTTTTATAGACAAATTAGCAGGTGGATTTCAAAGATAAAAAAATATATAATGGGAATCAAAAATGGGTACCCTCCTTGCCAACAAAAATTATAACAACTTATGTACTGTTTGCCAAATTTCAACAAATAATATTTGATGTTGTATGATTGACTTTAAGACACATAGCAAATTTGATAGACATCATATTGGGAGTAGTTTACACTGTTTTTAAGAAACGTTTGACAGTATTTAAGCTTGGTACTCTAAAGTCACCCTATATTTTGAAAAATGAGTGAAAACGACAGCGTGTACAAAAGTCTTAACAATTATTTTCAAATATCAGTAATTGTAATAATCCACGTTTGTTTTATATTCAAACAGATACTCGAACATGAATCTATTGCTTAAAACCAATAAAACAAAATTCACCATAATATGTACTTGATAAAAACGGCGATGGTCTGTTAAGAGCAAAGGTGTGCAAGAGCACAAAAACAGATTTATATGCAATTTTCTTAAATATTAGTGGTATTATTGTTTAAATTCGTATTCGAGGAGACAGTTTAATATATTGAGGTGTGTAGAAAGCAGTTTTTTGCAAAGAAATCGAAAGGTTTATCAGAGAAAGGACCCAGAATCAGAAATCCACTTCATTGAATTTCTTCATGACAGCGTTTAAACCCGTATGCTCTAAAGAGAAAAGGCGTTTACGGTATAAACAAAAAGTTCATGTTTTTTCACATTAACAATATTTGCCAGATCTTTGACTCTTTGACTTGTTTCTATTTCCAAACTTGAATAAAACACCTTTCAGAAGGAAAAAACAAGTCCAGGAAATCATTGGATCTGCCATTTTGCAGTATACTAAGGGTCATGCCCAAAAATGAGTTCTAAAAACAATCAGAAATTAGATAAAAAATGTTACGGACATCTGTTTGAATTAGAATAGATTAATAAGTAAAATAATGAAGACTAAATCATTGAAAAGCGTCGTTTGCTTCTTTCTGAGCCCCAATGACATTATTTATTGAACGCCCCTCGTAAGTTGTTTTATTATAATCTTTAGCTTTACTTAAAATACATACAGTATATAATCGCCTATACGTTGGTAAACCTAAAACTCGGTTGTATTTTTATGCTCTAAAATACGAAGGTTTGGGGGTATGTAGTTTTTGTCTTGTTCGTTCGTCTGTCTAGCTGTTACACTGTCTGTAAAAACTTTAACCTTGCCAATAGCTTTTGATGTAATGGAGTCATGACTTTCATATTTCACATTCGTATCTCTTGTAACAAGGTCTTTTTGTGCCTCCAAATTCGACCTATTGATCTTCGAGTTTGACCCACTTTTACTGAAAAATTCAAACTTTTGCTTTGGATATATTTTTTGAACAGTAGATAATAAGACCTTTATTTTTCCTATATGTATCTTTTGTTAAAAGAACTTAAAATGAGTATCAACAATTTTACCTGTCCTGGACCATGGCGATTTTAGTACTTACAAAAATACTCTGACCTTGACCATTACTTTTGAACGGTTAAGACTAGCGCTTTGATACTTCACTTACGTAATTCTTGTAAGAAGGGGCTTAATTGGATTCCAAGAACTTTGACCTGTTCACCTTGCAGTTTGACCTTTACAATATAAAATTCAGGGACCAGAGTCAGAGGAACTTTGGCATAAGTAATGGTTATAGTCAATCTTAACATACATGTGCATCATTCAATATCTTCCACTCACAAATGGAAGGAATTAATGATTCAAAGACTGCATAATGCTTCAATTATATTTACCGTCTTTAAAGAAATATCGTAGTCATTTTCCCTTTATAAGCAAGCTTGAAATTAAGCTTTGGGGAATTTCGTCTACCTTTTCAAAATATGAGGCTTATGTTGGGAGTGACCAGCTATCAAAAACTGCATACTTCTTATAGGCATCAAATCCTAGCTAGAAAAAAAAAATCAGGGTTCCCTTTTGCCTTAATCACTTTTTTTAATTGCTTATGGATTTTCTTGGACCGGCCAATGTTCGTTATCCTTATCTTTTGCATTTAATGTTTTGATATTTCACTACAATTTATAGCTGGGCTTCCCTGCTCTTGAGGTGGATTTTATTTTTTAACACTTTCCGCATTTATACATGTCCTTTGATTGTGGCCCAACCCTTACCCCAAGGGGTCCCAAATTTTACAAAATGGAATTTATTCTACCTAGGTGATGCTTCTATATAAATATGACCTACCAAGACTTAAGTGTTTTTGAGAAAAAGATTTTTCAAAGATTTTCCATATGAACTTTGTGGTTCCACCCTACACCGGGGATAATCATTTACACACAAATACTCTACCTAGTGATGCTTCCATAAAGATTTGTCTTTTTGACCATGATTTTTTTCTTGGGAACAAACTTCTGACATGATGCAATTAATTTTTTCCCAATCTTAACCATGCAGCTAGGATAAGGCTGCCCGTAAAATATCAAACTGTAGTAACTTCTCTGAACTACCCAGATATGACCTCGCACACATCAACAAATATCCTGCAAGAAGTAAGTCCATTATTTTATTCGTATTATATGGATGTAACAAATTAAGTGAAAATAAGAGTATCAATTCAGCTAGATTTATTTTTTATCTCGTGGGCTAGGGAGTGTTTTTGAAGTGTCAACGGC